CACTCTAATTTTGGTGGCCTTTATGTTCATTCTTTTACAGGAGCTTCAGGCCTATTTTTTGGAGTGTGAAGCTGTGAAGCCAAGTGTGAAGCAGTACTTAGCAAAGAGTTTTTGGTTCTGAAGTGTGAAGCCAAGTGTAAATTGTAATATTGTAGAAGTCTAATGTAGTGTTAATGAATTATATCTGTTCTGTCCAATTTGAAATAATGATTATGTATGTTGAAAAGATGTGAAATGGAAACTTGACCAGTGGGACCCAGTTATGAATATAATCTGAGCAATTTTGAAATTTCTGACATGTGGCACCTAAACAACATACCTGGTCCCATTTCACTAGTGGAAAGAAACAAAAGAAAACTGACAAGTGGGACCTAATTGGATGAGCAGAAGAAAACAAAAGAAAACACACCTGGTCCAAAATGGATTGTAAAAAGGCCCAAATAAGAAATGTAAGCAAAAAGGCCGAAGGCCTAGAAAATAAAAAGGCTACAATGTTGGGCTTGGCCCATGAAGCCGATCAAAAATTTATAGAAAAAATACATTAAAAAGGCCGAATTGTTGGGCTAGGCCCATGTAGAAAACTGAATTGGACCGGGCTGAATCTTAGCTTGCCACGCTGGATGCCTACGTGGACTGGGGAGGTTGCTAGTGACCAAAACAGAACAATAGGCTTATTTTGGTCATAAACGTTTGCGACCATTTCAGAAGAAAGGTCGCTATAGTTAGTTTACGACGCCCAGCTTTTGACCTTATGTTTTTGGTCACAAAAAGGTCATAAATGGAAATTTGTGACCATTCAGTGACCAATAGTGGTGGTCATAAGTTGACATATTTCTTGTAGTGCATAATCATGTGGCAGTCATGAGACTTTAGGTTCTGGAACTTTTTCTCTGCCATGTTTATTATTCCCTTTATATTCGACGAGAAGCCAGACGGTACCTTAATACTGAGCAGGCATTCAAAGAAGATTTCCTTCTCTTCTTTGGTAAGAGCGTAGCTTGCATGACCCTGATGTATGCCGTCTTTTCCGTGCATACGTTGCTGGTCCTCTCGTGCCTCAGGTGTATCTTTTGTCTTCCCATACACGCCCAAGAAGCCAAGCAGGGTCACACAAAGATTCTTCGTCACGTGCATCACGTCGATTGCGGAGCGGACCTCTAGGTCTTTCCAATAGGGCAGGTCCCAAAATATAGATTTCTTCTTCCACATGGGTGCGCGTCCGTCAGCGTCATTCGGAACAGGTTGTCCACCAGGACCCTTTCCAAAGACCACCTTCAAATCCTTGACCATATCATGTACATCAGCACCAGTACAGTGGCGAGGCTTCGTCCGGTGATCCGCCTCACCTTTGAAATGCTGGCCTTTCTTTCTTACGGGATGCCTGCTCGGAAGAAATCGACGATGTCCCAGGTACACATTCTTCTTACAATTAGCCAAATATATACTGTCGGTATCGTCCAAACAGTGCGTGCATGCGCGGTATCCCTTGTTTGTCTGTCCGGAAAGGTTACTGAGAGCAGGCCAATCATTGATGGTCACGAACAGCAACGCCTTTAGGTCAAATTCTTCCCCCATGTGCTCATCCCACGCACGTACACCTGTTCCATTCCACAGTTGTAAGAGTTCTTCAACTAATGGCCTTAGGTACACATCAATGTCGTTGCCGGTTTGCTTAGGGCCTTGGATGAGCACTGGCATCATAATGAACTTCCGCTTCATGCACAACCAAGGAGGGAGGTTATACAAACATAGAGTCACAAACCAGGTGCTATGGATTAATGCCATCTGCGCTTACACCAAACCATACGCTCCTTGCGTCATCTGCAAACTCCTTCCCGTACTTTCTTTCGATTTTTCTCCACTGCGACCCGTCAGCGGGTACTCTCAACTTTCCGTCTTTCTTACGGTCTTCTCTGTGCCATCGCATCGCCTTGGCATGCTCTTTGTTTTGGAACAAACGTTTCAACCGTGGTATTATAGGAGCATACCACATCACCTTGGCAGGAATCTTCTTCCTGGGGCGCTCGCCCTCGACATCACCAGGGTCATCGCGGCTGATCTTATAGCGCAATGCACCACATACCGGGCAAGCGTTCAAATCCTCGTACTCACTGCGGTAGAGGATGCAATCATTAGGGCATGCATGTATCTTCTGCACCTCTAACCCTAGAGGGCAGACAACCTTCTTTGCTTCGTACGTACTCTTGGGCAATTCGTTGTCCTTTGGAAGCATATCCTTTATCATTACCAGCAACTTTCCAAATCCCTTGTCAGATACACCATTCTCTGTCTTCCATTGCAGCAATTCCAGTGTGGTGCCCAGCTTTTTCTTGTCACCTACGCAATTCGGGTACAACAATTTTTTGTGATCCTCTAACATGCACTGCAACTTCTTCTTCTCCAAATCACTTGCGCAGTTTCTCTTTGCATCGGCAATGGCCCAACCTAGATCATCAATGGGCTCATCTGATGCCTCTTCTTCAGCTTCTTCCCGCATTGCCGGCTCAGCTTCTTCCCGCATTACCGACTCAGCTTCTTCCCCCATTGTTGTATCATCGTATTCAGGGAACCCATGGCCAGGATAGCTGTCGTCGTCCTCTTCTTCTTCATTGTCTTCCATCATAACCCCTCTTTCTCCATGCTTGGTCCAAACATTATAGTGGGGCATGAAACCGGACTTAAACAGGTGGACGTGAATGGTTCTTGACATAGAGTAATTGTGACCATTCTTACAGCCAGCACATGGACAAGGCATAAAACCATCCGCCCGCTTGTTTGCCTCAGCCGCAAGCAGAAAAGTATGCACGCCCTCAACGAACTGGGGAGAGCATCGGTCATCGTACATCCATTGCCGGCTCATCTTCATTACACAACACCGAATAGACCAAATTAATACAAGTTCATACATAAAGTTCATACAACACTTAAATGCAACAAACAAATAACTCTCTAGCTAAAGCATTTAAATGCAACAACAAATGCGATCAAGATCGCAGCTAAGGTAACAATGGATCCAACAGCATAATGATACCAAGCCTCACTATCGATGGCATATTTTCTAATCTTTCTAATCTTCAAGCGCATTTTCTCCATCTTGATATTGTGATCATCGACGACATCGGCAACATGCAACTCCAATTCCATCTTCTCCCCCTCAATTCTTTTCAATTTTTCTTTCAAGTACTCGTTTTCTCTTTCAACTAAATTTAACCTCTCGACAATAGGGTCGGTTGGAATTTCCGGTTCACATACCTCCTAGAAAAAATTTCTATGTCAACTTGATGGGCATAATTTGTCATAAACACGAAATGCAACTAGTTTTAAAAGAGAATATATATACCACATCCAAATCATAACAAGGACGAGGGCCGACGGGGATGGATATCAAAACCATGGCACTATATGTATAACAAACAACGTACGGGTAAGATAATTATACGAGTAACTATATATCCAAATCACACAAACATCAATTTTTATATAAAATTTCATGAACAAGAGGCTCACCACAAGGTGGTGCCGGCGACGGGACGGTGTGAGCGATCGACGGTGGTTACGACAGAGATTTAGAAGGCACTAAGTAAACCACACCTACATATGCAAACTAAGTGTTATTTTTGACCTCAAATTGCATATAAATCAAATACTAGCACATATATATATATATATCCTCCCAAATTACTAAACTCACAAATTAATCACTATATAAAACATTGCAAGAGCTAATCTAGCAATGAGAGATGAAAGGACAAAGTTGCTAACCTTTGTGATCATTTGAATGGATGGGGGCCTTCAAATCTTGACAAATTTTGGGAAAAATGTGTGATGAGCTCGAGAGGAAGAGGGGAAGAACAGAGAGAGGAGAGGGGAAAGGGGAAGAACAGAGCGAGCTCGGGTGGACGAAGGGTTTATGTAGGACGACCTTTAGTACCGGTTCGTGCCAAGAACCGGTACTAAAGGGGCTGGAGGGCCCCCAGTCTGACAACATCCTGCCACCACTCTCATTAGTACCGGTTTGTGGCACAAACCGGTGCTAAAGGTTCGCCACGAACCAGTACTAATGAAAGCGGCCCGGCTAGCCGTTGGAACCGGCACTAATGTATACATTAGTGCCGGCTCAAATACAAACCGGCACTAATGTGCTTCACGTTTGACCCTTTTTCTATTAGTGAACTTTTCATTACCGTACCTCAAATATTGTTGATTTCATGGATTGTAATATGATTAGGTTGCATAAGGGCATCTCCAACATGGACCCTCAAACCACCCGCATCCGGACGTGTTTTGCCATCCAAGGCAATACCCCATCAGTTCGTTGGCCTGTCCAGACGTCCTTTTTTCCCGCAAACCACGGAGCGGGGGAGAAGTACGGACCATTGGCACACAAGTGTCCGACAATCCTAGCCCACCCAAAAACCTTCTCCCTCACTCGCACCCTTTTTCGCCTGAAGTCAGCTGCCTAGATCCAGAGTGTCAGCGCCACATTCATGCCGGCCCAAAAAGGACGCGACCTCTCACTGGAGCCACCATTGAAGTCGGGCGCCATCCGTTGCATACGAATTCTCTCCCCAATGACAGGGCATCCGTTTGCCCGCCTACCTCCATTAAACTCATGTGTGTGCCGAGAAACCTACTCCGACCAAATGTTGTTCCATGAGCTGGCCATCATTAAACCTACTCCGGTTGGCGCCTCATGTCCGTGCGCTATTTAAACATGGCCAGACGCCTGGCAAGAACCACACCGCACCGCCTCCATCTCCTCCTTGCACCATACTCTCCATGATTTTCGGCAAGCAGGAAAAGGAGTTCTCTGACATTAAAACCCGCTGGTCGGCCCACCGAGCCCACCAGATACAGGCTGATGCGCGCTCCATGCAACTCGCCGCTCTAGGCCGGAACCACCACGGGCAAGGCGCGGCCTCCAGGCCGGCGTGCGGACGAGTAACTTGCTCCTCCAGGCTGACGCACAGAGCACTCGGAGGAGCACGCCAGCACGAGCATCATGGAGGACGTGCATGAGCTCGTGTCATCGATCTTCGCCTGCGCCTGCTACGACCGCGCAAGAGCAGTCAAGGAGATAGTTTGGGATCACCAGTTTGTGGGTTTACATCGACAATCTATTGGGCATCTTTCTTTCACCTAAAATCACAAATTATATGTGAATTGTTGACTATAATGTATTATTGAGATATATACTTACATGTGAAGCAACACGATCAGTCCACGACTCCACGCCCATCACTCCACCTCCCCTCTATTGGAGTTGGTTCAAGTAACTACCCCAAATTTTAGTGTGGTGGCAATAGGATGTGGGCGGCCGTCTGCATAGCTTGGACCATGAGGCGGTCATGTTGTGCGGCATTACATCTTATCTATATGGGTGATGGATTTTGGGAAACCCCTCATGTAAGGGAATTTCTAACCGATCCCCTAAAGCTTAAGGGAGTAAAAGGCTTAATAGAGTATAAATACTCCACTAAGTTTTGGCCAGACTTAGCCGATTCCCTAAAGTTAGCGGAGTAATTTTTTTTCATTTCCATTTCAATTCCGGCCACCGAAACACATTTCTTTGCTTCTTTATTTCACTCAATGACATTGGATTACATAATAATTCATCAATTCTTTGCTATACGAGCAAGACCAAAGAAAATAAGAACCACAATTAGACATTTTAGAAGATACCCAACTTCCATAACTACTCCCACTAGTTGGATTAATATCTTCTCGATGCCTTTATTGTTGATCTGCGGATTCTCGATTTTGCATACTTCATTCTTCTTCTTTGGTTCTAAAGAAGTAGACGTTGCTTCCCCTCTAATTTCTTCTCTAATCTCACATCTAGTCTCATGTTTAGCCTCAATTCTAGCAACGAGTGCACGAACATCTACTAATTTTTGTGCTATCAAAATATCAATGTATTCTTCTTCCCAATACCAAAATGAGCATCCATCATCTTACACACATATATGAGCATAAATGAGCTACCAAAATTGAACCGAATCTGGTGAAAAACCGAATCAAAACAAGCACATACCCCATGGTTTGTGCATTTGAAGAACACCCATCCGGAATGTTTCAGAGTGGTAGAAACTCGGCAGACCACTTGCCATGTGCAGTCGCCGCATTGTATGACTGGCGGCTGCAAGCCAGTGAGCCGTTGCATGAGCGCCGAGCCCAGGCGACGGTCGGCCGTGTAGTTGCTGGAGAACCGACGGCGGGAGCGATTAGAGTGGCTAGAGGAAGAGCCGATACCTGCATGTTGTGTGTAGGCTTTTTCGAGGCTGCGTGGGCCGCTTCCTGGCCAATCCATGGCAAGGTGTAGCTGCCGGTGGAAGGAAACACCAAATCCGGCGGCGGCGACAACAACCGCAGATCCCCTCGATTTTTGGCCGGCGGCAGGACGAGGAGGTGGAGGAGGACAGCGACAGAGGCTTACAAGGCTTCCCCGTGGCCGGCCTGTGCCGGCGGGGAGGGGGGAGGGGTAGGAGGGGCAGCAGGGGCGAAGATGCGGCGCGGGAGGGGAGGGAGAGGCAGTAGAGGAGAGTCGCGCCGTTTTACTCGGTGGAGCAAAGATGGAGTGAATATAGGGAATTTTTTTGGGAGATGAGTAAGATTTTACTCCGTTAGACCAGATTGGGGATCGGCTAGGTGCCGGTTAGTGGATTAAAAAGCTAAATATACTCCACTAACCGGTTATAGGGGATCCATTAGAAATGCCATAAGGTGGTGGCTAAAGGGAGGTTGCGCAAGGACTTGCAGCTATGCGGGCGCTGTGAAGATCTCCCTCGGGTTTGTTTTGGTCTCGAGTGGGTTAGAAGCTAAAGGTGGTACATCACTCTACACATGTCATCACCGTCAAAGTCAGTGTGGCCTAGAGAAACTCCTCACATAGTGGTTTTGTTTCTTGTCCCTCTCGGCGGTGGCGGTGCGAGTGGTGTGGTGATGCGGTTTATGGCGATGCTTCTTTTATGCTTCTTTAAAATCCTATCAGGATCTTCGTCGCAAGAGACCGAGTAGCGTTGCTTCTCCCCTTGGTAATTGTTCCGGCCGATGAGGCGCAGGTAAGGCCCCTCGGGACCATGCTGCCTCATCTGCTTGGTGAGCAGCCTGTTGGGTGTACGCCTGGTGGAGGACCTCAGCTGGTGGAGACCTGAGACCAACTGAGCAGTGGAGGAGGGTTGTGCCTGTAGAGGCCGGCACGGGGAGGAGCGAGACCGGTGCAGCCGTCGTTGACGTTGTGAAAGAGGAAGGAGCTAAGTTTCCGATCCGTTAATTTCTGATCAGCAAATGTTTTCCCTTTCCTTTCATCCATAGCAATGGCGCAAAAAAACCACCAGATCATTACTCACATAGCTAACGAATATAGCTTTTGACTTTTTGATAAAAAGACAATTGAATATAACTAGCCTACAGCTGTTGACCTGAGTTGGTTATACCTGGCAATTGCTATGTTTTGCATTGTTACATTATTGAAGGCATTGCTCGGATATGCTCGGGTATGTTCTTCAGGGTGAAAACCTAGATTTGGATTGGTGGTTGGATCCAATGACGGTGGCGCTTGAGCGTCGTTCCCGTCATATAGACGTTATTGTTGCAGAACCTCAATATCAGTGTGGTGTCAAAAATGGTTGGTGCGGATATGGTTGTTGTAGTACTTTGGTGATCGCTTCATGGTTTTTTTCCTTGCTTAGGCATAGCTTTGATCTTGTATGACTTTGTGCTTTGCCGGCCTGTTTTCTGTGTGTGCGCGTTCGTGTTGACTGTGTGCATTCTAAGTGTGCAGAGGCCGGGTGTGTACTCAATGTGCTTGTATCCGCTTGTTGCTTCATTTTAAGTGAATAAGATCCACCCTTTATCAAAAAAACTACAGTGAACTGCTAAAACAATGGCTGTGTTGAAAGCCTGCACCAAACCAGGCAAATTCCTGAAACCAAATCAAATCATAAGCAGTTTTTTTTTTTTTGCGGGGTAAATCATAAGGAGTTGGTCGTCATGTCGACGCGCATCATGAATCCACAAACTAGAGGATGAGAATCATGTCAATGGACAATCTTGGTTGGCATGCATGAACCCTGCGAAGAAGGCAAGAAGCTCCTGTCAGTATCGTAACATGCTAAAGTAGTCGCCATATTTGTAAACATCGTTGTCACTGGCAAATAACACGTGAACTGAATAACTTGTGCCAAACGCCCAAACCCACAGGCTAATGAATTTCAGACGGCATAACTAACTGTAGGTAATTAACAAAGTAACTTTTTCCAATAGACTTGTGGTGGAAGCCGCCATTGCAAGCTGCACGAATGCAGACAAGAACAAATTCATTCAACCCGATTCTCATCCACATGCATGCATGCATGCATGGATGGAGATTAGCTAAATTTATGCAATCAACAATCCTAATTTCATCTTCATGATACGCACAGACAGCACAAGAAAATAACCTCTCTTCTTCTCAACTCTCCGGTCCGGTCCAAAACATAAAGATTCATGCTACGGGAAGGATCCATGCGCCTAGTAGTCGCCGCCGTACATGTCCTCCTCCACGCGCTCCGTCACGCGGTCCTCGATCTTGTGCTCCACGTAGCTCGCCCCACCCGCCAGCGCCAGCCCGCCAAGCACGCCCGCCGCCGCGCCCACCGCCAGCCCGCCAGCCATGCCCATCCCCTTCTTCTTCTTCCCGCCGCTCTGGTCCAGGGCCACCCCCGTCGTGCCGTACCCCGCCGCCGGAGCTGGCTGCGCGGCGCTGTAAGCCGGAGCAGAGGAGCCGTACGCGCCTGCTCCCTGTGTCGGCGGTGCGGCGCCGTAGGGCGGTGGAGCAGAGCCGTACGGTGCTGCGGCCAGGGGAGCCGGCGCGGTGGAGCCGTAGCCGGGGTACCCAGCTGACGGAGGCGCCGCCGCGGCGTACGCGCCGTAGCCTCCAGCTGCCGCCGCGGCGCCGTACGCGCCCGCACCAGCGCCGTACCCACCACCATAGGCATCACGGGAGGAGCCGTACCCCGCGGGCGCCGGGTAGGCGCCAGGGTTGGACTCGTAGTACCTCGCCGGCTCCTTCACGGCGACGCGGACGTCAAGCTTCCCCTGGGGCCTACCGGACGGCCGCTTCAGCTTCAGGTTCCTGGACGCCTTGGCCCCGACGCCGGCGTCGTCGACGACGTCGCGGAGCGGGAGCCGGGCGGAGCCGACGAGCGGCTTGACGCCCTCGGCGGCGTTGGCGTGGACGACGTCGAGGTAGAGCACGGCGTCCTGGAGGCGGCTGGCGGGGGGCAGCGGGACGACGACCTTCTCGTCCCAGGCGGGGTTCTCGTTGTTGTCCAGGTCGACGCGGGTGGAGCAGCGGGCGCCGGCGTCGACCCAGAGCACGGCGTAGGGCTTGAGGTCGCCGTTGCGCCAGTTGACGTTCTTCAGGTCCCGGGCCGCGCCCACGGTCACCTCCACCTCGTACCGCGAACCCATCTTGCTAGGCTGGGCTGGTGTTGGTTGCCCGGCGAGGCGGCGATGATGTGCTTGGTTGTGGTTGGGTGCGGTGGTGGATGGAAGCCGGTGGGCGGTGGCGACGGCATAAATAGGCGAGCGAGCGAGAGTGCGCGGGGCGGCTCGGGCTGGGGGCGCGCCGACCGGGGGTGGTGTGGCGCAGCCCGTCATGTTTGTTTGACTGGAAAGTGGCCCCGGTGTCTTTGGTTTGGTAGGATATGAAGTATTCAATGCATTTTCTAGGTGCGGATGCATGCAACGCGGTTGGGTCAATGGTCTTATTTTCTTTGTATTTGTATATATATATATTGTCATGATATATTGGCGCATCCTATATCTACTAGAAGAACGCCCGTGCGTTGCAACGGGACCACATTAACTTTAAGAGTTCAATATTACGACATTGGTGACCTTTTTTACCATCAAATCCTCACACACACAAACACACACTCTCCCTCCCTCTTCCTCACTCTCTATCCCCCTCTCCCTCTCTCTCTAACACACACACATATCCATCTTATTGAGTACGGGACCATAATTCATCTATTTCACACATACACGCTAGTGCATAACAATATGGATTATGTGTATTATATTTGCCACCAGAACTGAGGGAATTAATTTCATGTAAATCGACCAGCCACAGCTTCAAGAATACGCGGACGAGGTGGCTCGGGTCGGCGTCGGCGCCGTCCAGCGCGGGCCACGGGCCCGCTTCCAAGTGCACGTGAAATGCACGTCTTCACAAATATTATAACCAGATGTGAGAAATCACATGCATAGAAAAGACATTCTGATAGCAATCCAAATACCATACTCAATTGAATACCTAACCTGCACAATACTCTTATTTCTATGCGCCAGAAAAAATGGAATAGCAAAGCTAAGTATGCCTACATACGCTCAGATTATATATAGGAATCTTGGGTGAACAATTGCAACAAAGCACTAAGCAGCGATAAATTTAAATAAAAAATCCATTAACTATGCAGGCAGCAGGCTTGTTACAACATGGAGAGATAGGAAAATGTCACCTCCAGTAATGTAGCGCAAAGGAGTGGAACGAAGCATGAATGAGCGCTTGTCTGTTCTTCTCCATGTACATGGATCAGCAGTAGAGGCCAAGTATATAAGTACTTGACTGAACTCCACTCTTCGTGTACGGAGAGCCATGTCACCTTCTCGCCGCTGCAGCATGGGAGGACGGCTGGTTCACGTGACCCTCCAGCTGGGGGATCCATGGTGGCTGACCCTCGAGCTCGAGGCAAAGAAGTTGAGGGCAGCAGTGGCGAGATCCATGCCGTCCAACCGGGCGAAGAGGAGGTCGCCGGGGAGGGACACATCGGCAAGATCCGGTCACCACGCGACCTGAAGAGCAACAGTGATCTCCACAAGCTGTAGGCCGACGGCGTGCTCCATCCCCTGCGATCACTACTAGAAAAAGGGCTATAGATGGGATTGATACTAATGGCGCACCAGACAAGCGGTGCGCCACTAGTATATACTAATGGCGCACCACCTACTGATACGCCATTAGAGTTGAAATTACTAATGGCGCACCAGGCCCAGGGTGCGCCATTAGTATCAATTTTTTTTAACTAGTGCGTCTATCCAAACATACTAATGGCGCATCCAGATACAGTGCGCCATTACTAGTTGTTGTAACTAGTAATGGCGCACCAGCCGGAAAGTGCGTCACTAATGTTGTTTTTTTATTATATTTTTTATTCCCTTTTTTGCAAAACTACTAATGGCGCACTGTTCCACCGTGCGCCATTACTAGTTTAAACTAGTAATGGCGCACTGTGGGACAGTGCGTCATTAGTATTTCTTTTGCAAAACTACTAATGGCGCATCACCAGGAGGTGCGCCATTAGTAACCTGGATTACTAATGGCGCATTTAGAGTTGGTGCGCCATTAGTAAGTGGGCAGCAACAAGATATTTTGGACAGCCTCTCCTACCCACACTCACTTTCTCCCCACTTCATTCTCTCCACCTCCTCCTTGTCTCGGGTGCCTCCTCTTTTTCACCTCATTTCCACCATAGATTCATTCAATTTAAGTGGTTAAATTACCTTGTTTTGATAGGTAAGTAAGGGGGAAGCTATATTTATGTTGTTCTCCCTACAACAATGTGCACATGCACTTTTTATGGCCTAGCTAGATCTATGTATGTTCGTGGTGTTGCATATGTGTTTGTGTTTAGAGGTGTACCGGTATTTGAAATTCGATAGTTGCCAATATTTTGCAGGAATGTTGATTCATTTCCGTTTCGGCGAGAATTTTGGCATTAAGCATTCTTTTTGGTCCTATTTTTAGGGAAAGTCATGCCAAATTTTTTCTTGGTTCTAAAATATCGTTTTGCTCTACCCCGCAGGCGACCATGGTCCGCATGATGACCGAAGGCATCGTGAATAGGTTTTTGAGGTCCGCGAAGGCCGAGATGCTTCAAAAGAACGAGATGGAGATAAGATGTCCGTGTCGAAAATGCAAGCTGAAGAGCCTTATTGCGGACCCGGAATCCTGGCAGGTGCGGGACCACCTGCTCTTGCGTGGTTTCATGGATGGCTATCGGTGGCAAGGTGATGAAGATGACTACGAAGTCGTCCATGGGGGCCGGGCAAGAAATGAGGAAGGGCAGCAAGACAACCACCGCGGCTCGGGCGGGCGAGAAGACGAAGAATCCCCAGGAGATGATCACGACGGTGATGCTGTACACAGTCATCATGTAGAAGATGCAGGACATGATGATGAGGTAGATGCCGGAGCAGTCGACGGGCATGATCATGAAGATGATGATGTCGGCGCAGCAGACGACGCTGGACCATCGATGGGCTGGGTGCAGGACCCTCATATTCAAGAGTTGCTTCTCAAGCAGATGGATAACGCAAGAGCTGCCGCCCGAGAGAAAGCTAAGATGGATCAACTTGAGTTAGATGCGGTTACTCCATTGTATGAAGGATGCAGGCCCGAGGATACCCGCCTGAAAGTAACGCTCATGGCTCTGGAGATGAAGGTAAAACACAAAATGACCGACGCATGCTTCTCGAGGGGAACAAGTGCCCGACCAGTTTGGAGGAGGCGAAGAAAATCGTGTGTCCTCTGGATTTACCGCACGTGAAATACCATGTGTGCATGAACAATTGCATCATTTATCGGGACGAGCATGCGGAGTCTATCATATATCCGATGTGCGGCGTCACTCGATACAATAAGAGGAAGAAAGCTCCTCGAAAAGTGGTGTGGTACTTTCCGATCACTCCTCGTCTGCAGCGGTATTTCGCGGACCCTAAGGTAGCAAAGCTCCTGCGTTGGCACACGGATAGGGAGGAGAAGAAGCGAGAAGATGACGCAAATGATCCGGAGATAGCAAAGCCCCTTGTTCGCACACGAACACGTCACCGTGTACCCTCGACGCCGGGGGTGATGCACCGCAGCTCACATCGAAGGAGACCCGGCCGGAAGCGCGGTACGCAAGACAATCCGGCGGGCGCTTTTGAGGACCCGAAACCCCACACGCCCGGGAGGGACCCCGTCTGGACGTGCGGCGATTCACGTCCTTACAAGAAAATTACATCAATTCACATCCTAGAATCCTAGTTCTGGTCCCACTCGGATTCAGCCCGAATCTGGCTCAATCTTCTGTCTTGCTCCTTGCGTGGGCTGTGGAATCTGCATATGACTTCCGATGGAGGCGGTTCAAATATCAATTATGTGTGCTTCGACGAGGCCAACAATCCGTATGTTGATCACTTTTCCAAATAAGGCCATCTTGAAAAGCAAAGTTGACCGTTTCGATGTTACGAACAACTCCTGTGTTGAACACTTCTTCATCCGAAGCCATCTAGATAAGTATTTGAGCCCATCTTCAGCATCTGGTCGTATTGGCCTCGACAGTTTCTACTGTTCACGGCGGCAAGCTTTCCCGGCAAGGTTACTGTTCACGGTGGCAAGCTTTCCCCGGCAGGTTACTGTTCACGGCGGCAAGCTTTCCCCGGCAAGGTTACTGTTCACGGAGGCAAGCTTTCCCAGCAAGTTTACTGTTCATGGCGGCAAGTTTTCACACCGGCAAGCTTCTCCGCTGGCAAGCTCTCCACGCCGGCATGCTTCTCCGCCGGCAAGGTTTTACCCCGGCAAGGTTTCATTCAGCCGACAAAGGATGTACTTATGGATATACTTATGGCGCACCTCCTGGTGGTGCGCCATTAGTATTGTGCCATTGCTATAAGAAAAAAAACTACTAATGGCGCACCAGGGTGAGGTGCGCCATTAGTATTGTGCCATCCATATTAACTCCCCGGCCCCTCCCTATCCCCTCTCTCTCCCTCGCCCTCGCCCCTCGATCCCCTTCCCCTCACCTCTCCCAACGCCGCCCTCTCCTCTCCCGACGTCGCCGCCCCGCCGCCCCGTCGTCCTCGTCTCCCCGCCGCCCCGTCGTCCTCGTCTCCTCGGCGCCGCTCTCCCCGTCGCCCCACCTCGTTGGACGCCATCGCCCCGCCGCCCTCGT